TACGGAAACCTAGGAACAGTGTTCCAATCGCTTGGTAATTATGAAACAGCGCAAGAATATTACAAGAAAGCTCTTGCTATCAGAATGGAAATCGGTGACAAAAAAGGAGAAGCAACACATTACGGAAACCTGGGAACACTGTTCCACTCTCTTGGTAATTATGAAAAAGCGCAGGAATATCACAAGAAAGCTCTTGCTATCAGAATGGAAATCGGTGACAAAAAAGGAGAAGCAACAGATTACGGAAACCTAGGAACAGTGTTCCAATCGCTTGGTATTTATGAAACAGCACAAGAATATCACAAGAAAGCTCTTGCTATCACAATGGAAATCGGTCACAAAGAAGGAGAACCAGCAGACTCCGGAAACCTAGGAACAGTGTTCCAATCGCTTGGTAATTATGAAACAGCGTAAGAATATTAAAAGAAAGCTCTTGCTGTCAGAATGGAAATCGGTGACAAAAAAGGAGAAGCAACACATTACGGAAACCTGGGAACACTGTTCCACTCTCTTGGTAATTATGAAAAAGCGCAGGAATATCACAAGAAAGCTCTTGCTATCAGAATGGAAATCGGTGACAAAAAAGGAGAAGCAACAAATAACGGAAACCTAGGAACAGTCTTCCAATCGCTTGGTATTTATGAAACAGCACAAGAATATCACAAGAAAGCTCCTGCTATCAGAATGGAAATCGATCACAAAGAAGGAGAAGCAGCAGACTACGGAAACCTAGGAACAGTGTTCCAATCGCTTGGTAATTATGAAACAGCGCAAGAATATTACAAGAAAGCTCTTGCTATCAGAATGGAAATCGGTGACAAAAAAGGAGAAGCAGCAGATTACGGAAACCTGGGAACACTTTTCAGCTCGCTTGGTAATTATGAAAAAGCGCGGGAATATCACAAGAAAGCTCTTGCTATCAGAATGGAAATCGGTGACAAAAAAGGAGAAGCAACAAATAACGGAAACCTAGGAAGAGTGTTCCAATCGCTTGGTAATTATGAAACAGCGCAAGAATATTACAAGAAAGCTCTTTCTATCAGAATGGAAATCGGTGACAAAAAAGGAGAAGCAACAGCTTACGGAAACCTAGGATTAGTGTTCCAATCGCTTGGTAATTATGAAACAGCGCAAGAATATCACAAGAAAGCTCTTGCTATCAGAATGGAAATCGGTGACAAAAAAGGAGAAGCAACAGATTACGGAAACCTAGGAACATTGTTGTTTTTACTCGGTGAACATGACAAGGCTGTAGAATATCTTCAGAAAGCACTACATTTTACAAAGAAAATTGGGGACAGAAACGGAGAAGCAAGTTGCTTTGGAAACCTAGGAGCTTCTTTCCTGTCACTCGGTAAATATCTTATGGAAATATCAGAAATACCTAGAGCATGCACTGGGAATAAGCATGGAAATTGGTGATAAAATGGGAGAAGCGGCAGATTACGGACATTTGGGGATAATTTCACATCATCTCCAAGAATATGAAAAGGCTCGAGAATACTACAAGAAAGCCCTTGCAATCTTCAAGGAAATTGGCGACAGACGAGGAGAAGTGGTCCAACTCGAAAACTTAGGAACATGTTTTCAATCGCTTAACAAATATGTAGTGGCCGAAGAATACTTCAAGAAGGCTCTTTCATTGAGCAAGAATATTGGACTAAACTTCCATGAGTTCCAATGCCTTTGTAAGCTGTCGATGTTAAAGCTATCACAAGTGAATCAAAAAGAAGCATTTTCGTACCTTTTTCAGTGCATCGAAAAGTTCGAGACGTTGCGGGATTTTCTTGAAGATAACGATCAATTTAAAACATCGCTTCAAGAAGAGCACGGCACTTACCCCTACAAGTTGCTCAGTAACCTGCTTTGTTCCACCGGGAATCCAAGGGATGCTCTTTATGTTGAAGAGCTGAGACGGGCAAGAGGCCTGGCCGACTTGATGGCAGCCAAGTACTCTGTTAAAGAGCAGATCTCAGGCAATCCACAGTCATGGCAGGGCATTCAAAATATCATCACAAAGGAAACAGACTGCTCATGTCTTTACATTTCGATTGAAGAAGAACATGCACGGTATTGGATTCTCAAAGCAACTGGAGACATTCATTTCTCACGAAAGAAAGTCAGTCTGGAGAAACGTGTGGTGACCCAATTAGTTCCTAGTTTGGAGGAGTTCTTTACAGAAAGCTTTCGCAGCCTTGGCATCTTACCCCAACAGAATTGCGAAGATAGATCACTAGATGATACCGAATCGATCTCAACTCACTGTGAAAATCGCGAACTCATGCGTGATTACGATCCAAAAGATTTTAAGAGTAATCTTATCTCGTGTTACGACATTATAATCGCTCCGGTCGCCGATTTACTGAAGAAACCCGAGATCATAATTGTCCCTGAGTCCTGTATGTACCAAGTACCATTTGCAGCCATAAGAGATGGAGAAGGAAAATATTTNCGATGGCGGACATTTCACAAGTTCGGCTGCGAGCTAAACTGGTGGTACTTAGCTGTTGTCACAGTGGACGTGGGCACATTAAGGCCGAGGGAGTTATTGGAATCGCTCGAGCCTTCTTAGGATCTGGTGCTCGCTCGGTGTTAGCGGCACGGTGGGCCATAGAAGACACAGCCACGGAGGCATTCATGAGATGTTTCTACCAAAACCTGTACCGCGGTAAAAGTGCCAATGAATCTCTCCACGAGGCCAGGAAATGGCTGAGAAAGAACGGCTTCGACAAAGTTTCCCAATGGGCTACATTCATGCTCATTGGCGATAACGTGACATTTCGTTTTGGAAATTGGCCAGTGTCTAAAGCACCCAAACAACCATTAGAGAAGCAAACCGTTTGTAGCGGAATTAAGTGGAGCAAGTAAAACTTGCAACTGTCAATTTCCATCCTGTAGAAAGGGGACACCATCCGTGAAGGACAACACTTATAAAGAAAAGCTGTTTTATGAATGCTCTTTAGTTAACTACGTGATATCATCTGGAACAGGACAGTTCGTAATTCAGTGTTTATGAACCAGCAGTTGAGCTGTTAGCAAAGAGCTCTCCTTTTGGACAAAGATTAATTTATAAGTCAAAACAAACAAATTTTGAGCAAGTATTTTTTCAAAGTGAAAGAATTAAGTCAAGCCAAGCAAATTTAAAGCTATTTTTTGCAAGTGATCAGTTATTTAGGTCAAACAAAGTTTGAGTTTTTTTAAAGGTCTACCTTTCATCTAATGAATATAGCACCCAAGGTATTTCTCGACGTTGAAATCACCTGAATATTCGTGTTAACCGAAAACTATCTTTTGTCCTATTTTTAATGACGAGGTATTTTCTTACAATAGGACATGGGCATGAAATGTTTTGACAGTTTTTTCAGCAAGGAAACAAGTCACAGTAAAGTTTATATAGCGTATTGATACATTATATAGCTCATATTGTTTACATAAAAATCGATAACCAGAATAAAGTCTTTTTTTCGCGGGCTAAATCTTTCCATGATTCTACGAACATACGTCTTAAAAAAGGCTTCAGACTAGTTAGAGGAGAATTTCATCTCCAAAACGATTTGTTACTTATAGACGTTTATCAAATATGTACTGTGTGTTAATCCAAGTGAAAATTTGAAATAAAAATGATTCGTAATACTACACGAATTTTGATAAGACGGACGGTTTTTCTCATAATTGAGTAATGATCAAAGAAGAAAGCATCAAATCAAAGTGAATCACCTCGTACAAATAGAGCATGCGCAGTATTCATTTGTGTCGAAAATCCAAATCAAAGTAATCACAACTACCAATCAGAACAAAGCTTAGCATCGCCATTAACCAATGAGAACTCAAAGTAAAAGGAGAAAATCTGCTTCAAGCGCGGGAGATCGCGGGGAACGAATTCATCATTGGTTTTAGTCTTAAAGGAAGAAGGTAGCGTGAGTTTTGTGGACCAATCACAACGCAGAGTGAAGCAAGACCGAAGCAACCAGGATTACTTTCGATACTCTATTGAAAATGACTCTATTTTTTCAATTGAAGAATGATAAATTTTGAAAGTAGTATTAACTAGTGCAGCAGTTTTAAAGGAAGAGATTAACCTCTCCTCTTGAGTTAGGTGTTATCGGCTAAATTTTGATGTTCTAATCTACTGCTTCCTCATACATGGAGAATATTCACTTTTCACTTTAGTGTTTTTTGACATTTTCCTCTTGTCAGAACAATCCATAGAGAAAAATTTGATTTAACTATCTGTCTTCGCTTAATTTTCAAATCGAGTTGTTTTAGCATGGAGAAAGAGAAGAAGTTTTTAAAGAAACTGTGGTGCTGTGTCGGTGGGGATTGGGGGGGGGGTAACGCTCGAAACGTCAGCTATCCAAACTCTTTACGGAGGCTAATTTACGTCATAAACCCAGTATATAAAACCAAATTAACTCGAGAGAGAAAATGATTGGCATCAAAGATTGAAGTACACAATTATTTACAATCCGTGAACTCAGCTAATTTAGCATATTGTAGGAAATATTCGCGCTTTTAGAGGTTGTTTTCTGCTCCACATACTAAGTCAGCTGGAATTGAACCGAGAACTATGACAATTCTTTTTCGTGTCGAGGGCATTTTTTTAGTTAAAACATTCTCAAAGTTTCGGCCCCGAATTAAGGCTTCCATAGATATCACTTCTCCTATGATTCATCAACGGCATCTGTTGCCGAACCTTGTTTAAGTATCCAAGGTCAATTTCTGCTACACTCACATCATTTCCTTCGTGACACTGAGCAACAACACAGCCCCAAGGATCCACAACCTGCAGTGACATGAACAAAGACAATACTGAATAGATTAGGCTTGTTAGGAAAGGGCCGCTAAACTATTTGTTTAAGTTATCGTATTGTCAATGAACGCTTTATCAATAGTTATAGCTAATAACATGTTCAAAATGGAAGTTTTTCGCGACACGTTTACTTGGCGATTTTTGAGATGCTAATATTTCGAGTCACGATATTTTTACGAGGATAGCGTGATCGATTGGCCGTCTCTACGCGTTACATACAGTAGCATGATCATATGACCGTCGTTGTTTGTTAGCTGCGATAGTGTGACCGTATGACTGTCAATGCAAGTTACATACGATTGCATGTCTGTATGATCGACGATACACAAAATATCCCATGGCATGAACGTATGACCGTCGTCACACCGGCACATACCATAGCGTGACCGTATGACCGTTGTCACATGTTACTTACCATAGCGTGACCATAAGACCGTCGTTTAGCATTGTGCTGTCCAGTTTGTGCAGCAGCTATGACATAACATTGGTTCTCTACAGCACGACATATTCATAAAACCTGAAAAAAAGTACAAAAAGATTTATTTTGAAAAAGAAATTGAAATGAAGAATGGAAGATAACCCGTGATGTTCATCCTTAAATTTACGCACGCAGAATGAGAGGCGCTTCACTCAACCCTTTCTACACTAATATCAGTCTGCATATTCTCCCTAGTGCTCTCCATACACTTGTTTTCCAATGAAGAGAGTGTTTGGCGGAGTAATTTGGTTTTATTAACTGATATGATAAATGTAAATTGGCCACTGTACAGAGTCACTATGCTGGCATTTCAAGCGTTAGCCCTTCGTGATTCGCTCTGAAGAAGGGCTAACGCTAGAAACGTCAACCTAGACACTCTTTACGGTGGCCAATTTACATTTATCACATCAGTGGATAAAACCAAATTATTTAGTTATACTCACCCACCGACGCAGTACCACAGTGTTTTCAGAAAGTTACCTTCTTTACTCAAGAGCTTGTTTAGTTCACGATCATTTTTTGGATTCTCGAGATCAAAATGTGTGATTCAGGGCTGATATTGTAAGGAGAAATTAGATGTTAATCGTTCTTAGGGGTCCAGCGCTTAAGACTTCACCCTGACTACCTTAACAGTTACAGAAGAATAGAATTTCCTTTGTAACAGATCATCGAAATGCGCGAATTGCAACTGCCAAAAACCAACCAATCACAACATGACAATCATGTTTCAAAAGGTGACGTGTGACCAATCAATCTAACAGATCTCTTTGCAAAAAAAAGAGCGATAGCCTGGCAACAAAAACTGCTGCGCATCATGCCGTGAAAATTTCGCGATTCACCTCAGAAGTAAAGATGAAATAAAATTTTTCTCAAGTTTATCAAATAAATGAGTTTACTTTAAAGTCAGCCATCCTTTCGTAAAAAGTAGCAAAGATTCAGAGATTTAATTCCAAAATTAAACGCCCGTCTTATCTGAATCTTTGCCGGGTACAACAGGTTTGAATTTGAAATTTTGCTTCCATTATCTATCTAGCTAGCAGAGAAAAGTAGCTTGTTCCTGTTAATGCAATTTAGAGTTTGTTAGATTTGGAGACCTCTGATAAAAGGCGTAGTCAGTGAACATTATTTGTACAAACCTCCCAGTGTGTTGATCCGGTGAACTGAGTAAATACTGATGGGAATGTAAAGATGTCGGCTCCCTGCTGGGCTAAAATAAGGGACAGGTCTGGAAAACGTACATCATAGCACTGGAACAACCATCAAGTTAAGGATCGATGAGCACTTGAGAGAATGATATCTAACATATGCTACGGTGCTCAGGTTACTATGACGACTGATTTTCTGGAAATAATGAGCCTTATTAAATGTTGTTGAAAAGTTGGAGGTACTCGGTTTTGTGCAGAGTTTCAATGGGGATTTATTTCTCTCCTCTGCTGTATCAAGTGACCAGGTAATTATATCACTCGAACAGGCATGATAAGGGAACAAGATCATGGTGGTCTACCCGATTAACTCTATCACTGGGAGGAAGTCAATATGTCAGTCAATAAGGTCTATCATTGATCCTGCTAGTATTAATGAATACTTTGGCGAGATTAACATTGATCTCGACTACTTCCTCCCTGAGATGCTTAATATTCCAGAGGGCACAAAGGTACCCTCCTTCACGGTGTATGAGGTTACGCAAGCTCTAATTAACATCAGGCATGAAATATATATACCTGAAAATAAATAACCTAAGTTACACTTTTCAACTAAATTACAGTCTAAAATTATTCAATTATGTACAAAGCAAAAAGGCTGTTTTCCATGAATGCCGCGCCTTACATGCTATTATAATAACTGTTTAAAAGAGACTTAAAATTACATAAAGATTCTGCTTGCCTCAATGTTTCAGGAAGACTATTCCACAAAACAGCACCACTGTAGCGAAAACTATTATGGAGATAATTTGTGCGTGGCTGTGGAATAGTTAACTTGTTTACAGAATCTCGAAGAGTTTATGAAGTAGTGTGAGATCGGACGATAAATTTCGAACTTAGGTACTCAGGAGCAACGCCATTAAGAGATTTGAAAACCATGAAGGCTCTTTTTGGATCTCACACTGAGTACTAAGATTTTTTTCAGTTTAAATTTTGGAACAGGTGCGTTGCATCTGTGTCATAGCTTGAAAAAGTCAGAGCCCGTGCTGCACGATTTTGGAGTTTTTGAAGTTTGTCTGCTAGTTTTACGCCGCAGCTTCCTCAAACAACATTGCAGTAATCAAAATGCGGCTGAATCAAGGCTTTGTTGAGTAAGATGTAGTGTTGCTGGGGGAACAAAATGTCTGACTCGTTTGATAGCTGCAATACCAGAGGCAACTTTTTTAGCCAACTTTCCGGTATGATTGCCCCATCTAAGGTTTGCATCAATGAGTACACCCAGAGATTTTGACGTTGATACCTGGTTTATGGGAGTACCATTGATGTTTAACACGGGAGAAGCAGTTAGGGTGTTTAGCTTTTGTCTCGAGCCGATTAGCATCAGTCTTAGTCATATTGATTGTAAGTTTGTTGGCGATCAGCCATTTGCTGATATTTAGTAAGTCTTCGTTCAAGCAGGACTGAATGATATTCACATCTTTATCAGCGTAGGTAAGATGCGTATTATCGGCATACATTCTAGGATAACAGTTAATTAAGCAATTTGGTAAGTCATTTATGTATAGCAAAAACAATCATGAGAGAAGACCCAATATAGTCGCTTGGGGGTTACCACATTGGAGAGAGCAAGTTTTGGAAAGTGAACCACTAACAGAACATATTTTAGTTCGGTTTTCTAAGTATGATCTAAACCAATTGAAAGCATTTTCTTGAATTCCGTAGGCGCTTAATTTAGAGAGTAATATCGTGTGGACTACTGTATCAAAGGCCTTTTTTAAATCTAGAAATACTGCAGCATTAACGTTTCCACGATCGATATCAAAAGCTTAGCTATCGGTTGCCTCTAGTAGAGCAGTGACCGTAGAATGGATAGAGCGAAATCCGGATTGACTTTTTGAGAGAATGTCATGTTCAGATAAGTACGCGTATATTTGGTCATATATTATTCTTTCAAATACCCTGGCCACCGCAGAGATAACCGAAATGGGACGGTAATTGTTCGTATCACTCGAACTTCCCTGTTTAAATAAAGGAGTAACTTTAGCATATTTCTAGTCATCCGGGAATATTCCCTAGTCAAAGAACAATTAAAAGTCTTGCGAATTAAATCGGCACATTTACGAATTAGTCTCGCAGATATTTTATCGAGACCGGTTGCTTTCGATTTACTAAGTTTATTCAATAGTGGAAGTACTTGACTGCTATTTGTTGGAGTAAAACTGAATCTTTATTCAGTGATATTAAGATATTCAAGACAACTTTTGTCACCATTAGCTGCCGACGGGATCTGATTAGCAAGTTGCGGGCCAACTGTGGAGAAATGTTCATTAAACGCATTTGTCACGTCAGTAGATTTGTTTAGAGAAACACCATTTACAATTAGTTCTTAAATATAGGGGGTGTTACTTTTACAAGATTTAAGTTCATTTACAGTTTGTCAAGTGCGTCGAGAGTCATTTTTGTTTTCAGTAAACAATTGTTTTTAATAAGATTCCTTTGCGATCCTGATGTCACTGTGAACTTTGTTACGAAGTCGTTTAAATTCACCCCAATCCTGTGGCTTCTTTGAGCGTATTGCTTTCAACTTCAGGATGTCTCGTTCATGCATAGGTTTTTTTAACTCTGAAGTAATCCATGGGGATCTTTTTGAGCGGATCTGCTCTGTTCGTAAAGGAGCATGAGTGTTAACAACGTTTAAAAACTTAATTTTCCACTCACGCCACATGTCATTTGGGTCTTGAAAATTATCTAAAACATCCCAGTTTTCAGAAGCAATTTCGCTGCGAAAATAGTCTCGACTAACATTTTTAAAACTTCTGTATTTAATAGTATTATGTCTTTTGGAAGCGACTCCAATCTACAACTTTCGATAGGCAAAATAACGGACTATGGTCGCTGATGCTGACATGACAAACTCCAGAGCAGACTACTTTATCGGGATAGTTAGTATATATCAGATCTATTAGAGTGGATGTTGTGTCAGTGACGCGAGTGGGCTCGTTTTATCAGCTGGTGAAGGCCATATAGATCGGTGATGTCTGACAACAAGTGGGAATTAGTGTCAGACATTGAAGCCATGTGGCAATTCATATCCCCCATAAACAAATAGAATTCGACATTTTCGGAATCAAAACGTCCAATGAGATTTTCTAGAGCTGAGAATACTTCATAAGGAGAATTAGGAGGCCTGTACCACGTGGCAATAATAGACGGGTTTGAATTCGGTTTCCTGATTTAAACACACAAATTTTCTAGATTGCTCATGTTTAGATCCGTGCTACAGAATAGTTAATGGTGGTTTTGATATAGAAGCAAACACCCCCGCCATTTCTATTTCTGTCGTGTCGCGCTATCTCGTATCCATATACATTTCAGAATTTAATATAGCTTGTTCAAGTCTCGTTTCATTGATAGAGATAACATCTAAAGGATAATTGGCAAGCAAAATTCTTAGTTCATCGATATGCTGATGTTATGTTAAAGGAAGCTATTTTAAAACCACGTTTAGTAGGCATAAAATTGTTGGTAAAATCTGGATAACTCAACTACGTTAGGTTCCATCATCAAAATGTTTAATCAAAATGTTTAATCTGATGATGGAACCTAACGTATTTGAGTTATGCAGAGCACGACACTGGTGTCTAAATGCTGGGGGAAAAATGATTACTAACTGATTTCATTGATTCACTTCCTGTTTGCACGTAACGTGCACGTAAACCAGATTCTTGAAAAAGCTCTCTCTTCCTGATAACCGTTAACCGTCAAATGGCCTGACTTTTAATAATCAAGTGTCAAGATCGGAAAATTTCAACTGTCAACCGTCAAAGCGTAAGATCCTTGGGGTAAGAGCGAGCCATTGGTGGGCCTGCGAATGGAACTGACTGCGAAAATGACAGTCCAAATGATTTTGCGTCAGAAACAGATGATCACATTTTATTGGCTGTCTCCGAGTGACGTAGGACATATGCAGGGAAAAACTCATAGAACGGACACAGGAAGCTGACCTTGTTTATAAAGAAGAGCACTGAAGGTTACAAATCTTGGTAAGTACTGTCTGTTTTAAAACAATCGACATAATGCCATGTATTCACTGCCGTTAGCTTTACATAAGTGAGTACTTGTAGTTTAAAGCGCCCCATCATATCTCAGTTATGTCCTGTTTGATGTGACTTGACGGAAGAAAGTCAATATCTGCGATATAAAATGAAAAATAAGGAGTTAATAAGAAACAGTCACAAACAGAGAGAACAGTTTGATGTTTTGAATCCTTTTACAATTACTAGACTCGGTCAATGAAAAGCTTTGAACCAAGGCTAGTAACTTGCATGATTATTAAGTAAGTTACCCTCGTATGGAATATAAAAATCCGGCCTCTTTAGAGTCAACCGCCGTAACACTTTTCACTATCGACCCTACCTGGAGAGAACTCAAACTGCAATGAGTGTTTAGTATACAAAATATCTAGAAAAATAAATATAATATCTAGTATACAAAAGCGTAACTAAACCCATTTATTTTTCTTTATCATTGGAAGGAAGACGAGAGGCGATGTACAATATATTTTACCCGACTGTTACGTGTTCCATCTTTAGTACATGTCTTTTAGTTTTCCTCGCCTAACAGTTACTACTGATGGCGGATTTGAAAATGAAAAAAATTGAAACAATTTACTTTTTATCGGGAAACGACAGGCCTCAGTGTTCATTGCTTTTGAGCGCTTGGATTTTCATTAAAACATCAATCACAGCACAATTGAAGTTTCTCTCTGTACAAGGTAAGCTATTTCTGTGCGATGACTGAGCCTTTTCACTTTCTATAATCGAAAATCTAGGGAACAAATTTGACGCCAAATAATTGCATCCGCATCGGGTCTACAAATTCCCACATACCTGTGAAGAAAGTTTATCGACCCTGCTTGAACAGAATTCGAACTGTAATGAAGAAAAAATGGAAATCGAATGTCTACTGTATAACAGTATGGCTGAACGCATTAATCTTTTTTTCTATCATTGAAAGGAAGATGAGAAGGGGTGTACAATAATTTACCCGACTGTCACGTGTTCCAATTTTAGTACATATATTTCAGTTTTGTAAGTCTAACTTTTACCACTACCGGTGTATTTAAACATGAAAAAATTGAAACAATTCACTTTTTTTACAGGAAACGACAGGCCTGCGCGTTCACTGCTTTTGAGCGGTTAGATTTTGCATCAAAACATCAGTCGCAGCACAATTGAAGTTTCTTTTTGTACAAGGTAAGCGTCTGTGTTCGAAGACTGAGTCTTTTCATTTTCTAGTAGGTGTGACTTGCGTGACGAACACAACACGAAGACTAAATAAGGAACACGGGTGGGTTTTACGGGCGTTGTTCTATAAAACCCACCGATCTATCTACGTGTCACCTTTAAAAGTATTTATTTAGATAAGAAAGAAACATCGTAACAATTAGCTGTCATTCAAAGGATCCAGTGAGACACTTCATTAACAGGACTACCGTGTAGTACTTTGTTTCTGTTGATGGTAAAAGACTGGTGTCCAAATATACTCGGTCATTATTATGCATGTTGTAACCATCCAGCTGACTTCTTAAGTTTTAGCATTTCAAATCCGGTTCTAGTTTGATTTGATTTCAAGTGTTAATGGTCAAAACGAGCGCAGTAGTTCCAGTTTCATCTCATTCTACTTCAGTTTCCTCACTTCTTTGGCTTTGTAAGGGAATTTTATACATTTTACCAGCCTGAAATACAAAGGTTTTTCTCTGCCAATAGAAAATGGCACTACTCAAAAGAACCCCCAATACGTAACTTTCAAAAAGTTCAGTGTAACTCATGGTTACGATCTGGTGATGTGTTAACGTATTGCGTCAACAGTCACATGTTCCATCTTAAGTACAAGTATTTTAGTTTTGCACGTCTAACATTTACTACTAATGGTGGATTTGAAAATAAAAAAAAAAATTGAAACAATTTACATTTTTCAGGGAACGAAAGGCCTCAGTGTGCATTGCTTTTGAGCGGTTGGATTTTAATTAAAACATCAATCGCAGCACAATTGAAGTTTCTTTTTGTACAAGATAAGCTATATGTATTCGATGACTGAGTCTTTTCATTTTCTAGTGGGTGTGACTTGCGTGGCGAAGACAAAAAAAAGAATAAATAAGGAACACGGGTGGATTATACGGGCGTTCTTCAATAAAACCGACCGATCCACCGACGTGTCCCCCTTGCAACTATTTTTTTTAGATAAGAATGAAACATCGTAAAAAATCCGCTGGCATTGTAAAGGATTCAGTCAGACACTTTCTTAGTAAAGTTTAGAGAGAAATAAAAAATAAACAATTGATATCTCTTCACGGATATGCCTACAGTTTTAAATTAGTGCACTTCTAAGTCTAGTTTTTATGATCGAAAATTTAAAAAATAAATTTGACACCAAATTATTGCATCCACTCCAGGTCTTCAATTTTTTCAGATTCCTTTGAGGATAGTCTATCGACCTTGCTTGAGCAGAAATGGAAATCAAATGTCTATCACCGCCATGAGAGTTTTTGAATCCAAAAAATTTTCTCTGTCATTGGAAAGAAGATAAGAAGGGATGTTGAATAATTTCCCCGACTGCTGTGTTCCATCTTTAGTACATCTATTTCAGTTTTGCACGTCAAACTTTCATAAAAATGGCGGATTTAAAAATGAAAAAATGGAAACAATTACCTTTTTTTCAGGAAACAACAAGCCTCAGTGTTCTTTGCCTTTGAGCGGTTGGATTTTGCATCAAAAGATCAACCGCAGCACAATTGAAGTTTCGTTTTGTACAACGTAAGCTAACTGTGTGCGAGGACTGAGTCTTCATTTTCTAGTAGGTGTGAGTTGCGTGACGAAAACGAACAATAAATAAGGAACACGGGTGAGTTTTACGGGCGTTGTTCAATAAAATCGACCATATTTCTACTTACACGATACCCTTAGTTCGAAGGCATTTATTTAGATAACAATGAAAACATCGTGGAAATCAGCCGTTACTAAATAGGATTCAGTCAGACACTCTTAGTAACGATCAGCTGGAAATTCACTAGGTAACAATAAACAATTGATATCTGTTCTACGGATTTGCATTTTGAAATTGATGCACTGGGCGATCATTCCAGTAACGATAGAAATTGTTCACGTTATAGTATAGTTTTTTTATAATCGAAAAGTTAGCGAACAAATTTGACGCCAAATGATTGCATCCGCTTCAGGTCTACAAATTCTCAAATTCCTTTAAAGAAAGTCTGATGTGTACCTTTTTTTCGCTGTTAGGATTATTCGATTACTCAGAAATTGAAAAGGTTTCACTTTCCAAGGCTAAACGATTACAGCGCACAAAGCTGTGGATTGAGTGACGAATTTCAAGTAAAACAAGCAATCAGCCTCTTATAATAGAAGTAAATGAGATTGTTTTTATCCTCACTATTTTGGTTTGGTATCTATGCACCTTTAAACCAGTCAAACAACTTACAACTTATTTTTCAACGGGAGGGAGGAATGGGGGCTGCATATCTCACTAAAATTGATCAAGATATTTAATCATCGTAAATTGTTGGAGGCGGGGAGGAGGGGTGTAATGAACCCCATGGATATCCTCCGCTGTTATCGCAAATTTAGGACGAAATTAAAGAAAATGAAAAAACCTAGTAAGAGGTCACTGACGAAAACAATGAAGGTAGGCACTACTGAAATTCAAACAAATCAAATTCTAAAAAGACCCGAAACTGATGTTTGATATACGGGCCGTTTTACCTAATTTTAACGACAATGGAAAGTAGTTGAAAAGTGTGAAATCCTCAGTTCAAGTTAAAATAAAGTGACGTCATGAGATACAATATCCAAAATCACGTGGATCATAGCTGTCTTTACGTTCAGTGTACTGTATTTTTTCCCGTTGTAAGGCGCAGTCCCTTATAAGACGGGTCATACACTTTTAATTTGGTCAAGTTGGTGTTAAGCTGACATAGTTAAACTCACGCCTAAATACTCGGTTATAAGACTCACCTCTAAACTACAAGAAATTTCCTCACTAAGTTAACTCATATTTCAACCCATGTTTTGTCCTGACTTATGTTGTTGTTGTTGTTGTTGTTTTTTTTTTAATTTATGCTTGGTAAACTTTTGGCGAAGTTTGGCGAAATTTGATTTGGTTTCGCGAGGATACTTGGCCAAGTTTCCAACAACAAGCGCAGAGAGGATTTTAATGAAAAATTGCTTTCCCTTGTAAGCGAACAAGAATGGCGGTCGAGGAAGCTGCTACAATGTCTAGAAAAAAGGAAAATCATGCTATTGTGTGATATTTTGTCCCCTCAGCGGTCAAATAATATAGTGTCAGTCCACAAGGAGTAACTTTTCCTTTCCGAGGGAAAACTAGACAAAAGGCGAATCACTCTTTGGCGCTGAGCCATTAACTGTTGAGTTAATTGTTTATTTATTTCAAAAAGTTTTTGACTATATCCACAGCTCTCAATTTTAAGGAGATCTATATTGAAGTCACCAAGAAGAATAATTTCCTTATTCCGGGTGCAAAGAGCTTCAAGTTTTCTTGACAGATAATGAGTATCAAGCTCATTAAGCAGCTGATTCTGTAGGTCTTCAAGATTTTCATTAAGACCTCTAATATTATTATGGAAGATAGATAAGAGGTTATCAGACTGGGCTAGCCTGTGTTTTTGCCTAAGAAAATTACGAGGAGAAAAATAATTAGATCTAAAGTGACTATGGGTACTGCTGTCGATATTAACCTGACGATCTGGAGGTATGTTGAAGTGGAAGAGGTCAAGGTCAAATAAGCTCTTAAATTTGTCAAGTTGATTTCTGGACGGAGCGGATAAGAACAAATTGATATTAAATTGCGGATGTGCAGAGGCAATATCTTTGCACTCATAGTAAGGAAATTCCTTAAGTAGTAATTTGTTTTCTCTCTGTACTCTTTTGTCACGCAATGGCACGATGAGGAGAATAATTTATCATACCTTAAGCATTCCTGTGATCACATCCTCACGATGCAGACATGTCCGACTACGATGCAATTTATAGTCCATAAAGCATGAATCAATACGCAGAACCATAGCATAGCACAGCTTACAGTTTTGAGCCAGATCTTAGCTTCGCTAAAATCATCCATAGAATAAAGCTTGAAGATGTGAGACGTTTCGGTTGCTGTCATGAGAACAGCTCCGCCTTTGGCCCAGCAAAATTTAAATTTTACTCGTTGTTGACGCTTCTTTGATTCATAGAGTAGCTGTTGTAGCTTTGGCGTTAACTGTTCGAAAATTCTTGGCGAGGTGAAAAGCGCATCTTGAGGCAAATCCACTTCAGAAGGATCTATCGTGGATATTCTATTTCTTTGCTGCATTATCTCTTCAATGGGTGATCGACGGGTAAATTTACATATGATGGCGTTGTACGAAGAGCTC